TAGATGTCCAGACTTCCCCCTAGAGATTCCAATTCATTACTCTAGATTAGCCATTCTCACCCTCTTCCAGAGGTATTTATAATGTGCAAGTTTAAGAAATACTGTTTTACACTATAGTGTTTGTTCAACCATACACTGTTTTTTTCTTGTCCACCGTCAGTCCAGTATCATCTGTAATCCCTGAAACCGCCTTCATTGCTCTACTTGCTCTGAACATAATTAAAAGATCTTCAGGACTCTTCAATACGTTTTGCAATACTCCACTCACTCAGGACTCCAGGAGCCTTGCAGGTGTTTGGTGTCTGTCCTAGTTTATGTGTCTGAGTCTGCTCTTTACTGGAGAGCACTCTCTGCAGCTCATCCCTTTCTTTAGCTATAACCAGCCCTCTTTATCTCACGTCAAAATTACATGCAGGTGTCAGTTCAGAATTTGATTCCGAAGATGCACCAGACTAATGTGTGCCAAACATCCCCATCAGAGTGGTTGCAAGCCCCATGAATACAGCCAGGATTTTTTGTTTGTCATCTTGCAACAGCTCAGGTCCCGTCCAGCCACAACAATCACAGACACGTGGCAACATGTTCACATTGTCCCAAGCTTCCCCAGCTGCATCCAGACAGTTTGAATTGGATTAAAAAGGGCTTCTGGAGATTTGCAGGCTTGCTTGTCCTGTGGGTAACTGACATTGATTGCAGTAATGATGTCAGGATTTCTTTTCTTTTTCCAGGTAGGAAACCATGTGATTTGCTCTGACTTGATTTCGTCATCTACCAGTAGTTTCTTGTGCTCAAACTCTGCACTTTGCAACAAGCATAAATTAAATAAGAGCATACAAGCAGGAAAATTACTTGAATTCAAACTTTTCCACTGAAATACCAATGGGTCTTAAATATATAAGATATGTGACCTCTCTCAAATGAAATGAAGATTAAAACTGTATCCAACTGCCCTTTTTCACCAATCAGATTAGCAAAAATTCAAATTTGATGGCAAGAGTGCAGGGAAATGGGGTCCCTTGTGTATTCTTGTGGGAGTAGAAGTTGGTTCACTGTGAAAGGTAATTTAACAGTTTCTATCTACTTTTGCCCAGAATTTTTTTATTTTATTTTATTTTATTTTGAAACGGGATCTCACTCTGTCACTCAGACTGGAGTGCAGTGGCACGATCTTGGCTCACTGCAACTTCTGTCTCCGAGGCTCAAGCGATCCTCCCACCTCAGCCTCCTGAGTACCCAGGAGTACAGGCATGTGCCACTGCCCAGCTAATTTTTATATTTTTTGGTAGAGACAAGGTTTCACAATATTGCACAGGCCGGTCTTGAACTGTTGAGCTCAAGTGATCTGCCTGCCTCAGCCTTCCAGAGTGCTAGGATTACAGGTGTGAGCCACTGCACCCAGCTCACCCAGCATTTTTACTTTTGGAGTTTATAATATACTGTGTACATGTGGAATTTAACCTATAGATATACTTGCATATGTGCAAAATAGTATACAAAATTAACCATGGAAGCATTGTTTTTTACAGCAGAAAATTAAAATAGCTTATATGTCCATCCATAGACAAACTGTCAAATAAATTAGTGTATATCCAGATAATGAAATCCTACATAGAATGAGGAAGGTCTGCCTGTACTGGTATGGAAAGATCTCCAAGACACACATTTGTTTTAAAAAAAATCAAAGTGCAGAGCGGTGTGTAGCATACTACAATGTGTGTTTTTGAAAAAATAAAGGCAGGATGAGAATTGCTTGAATGTAAAAAAAATCCTCTGGAATCCTATATTAGTTATTCCTTCCCACTAATGTCTAAACTGACCTAAAAATAAAAAACTTTTGTTCCTCCCTCTCCCCCTCCTTCCTTCTCTTTCTCCTCCTCCCATCCTTCACCCCACACGAAGGCATTCATTGAAAAGGGTTCCCTTCCTCACTGGAATAAACCTGCCACTCAGCCTCAAGGCTGCTTCCAGAGATGTCTTCAAGTAACAAGGAGACTGTGACAGGTGCAAAAAAAAACAAAAAAAAAACCACAGTCACAATGTCAGGATAACTTTCCAGACTCCAAGTTCCAGTGAGGCTAAACTAAAAGAGGACAGTGATGTGACTTCTTGGTCAGAAGTAAAATTTGAAGCAAAAACGCTCTTTAACAGTTTCCTGGGAGCAAAAGTTAAAAAGGAACAAACAGAATTCCCGTGAAGGTCAGTTCCTCCTTCCAGATTTTTGTGGCACAGAAACTAGTGATTTTCAAGTCCCTGTGTTAAATAAGTTTATCCTAAACCTGCCTCCTTCCATATTCTAAGTCTGCCCTGAAGGTTTCTCTGTACTCCACAAACTGTCATGTAAACAGGCTTGTAAATGGACTGTAGCCTACTCTTTGCCACTTACCATGTTTTAACCAATCAAAGGTGGCCAGCTGTTCAAACTATGTTCAAATAAGGCAAACGTTGAGCAGGAACCAATCTGGCTGTTTCTGTGCCTTACTTCCATTTTGCATACACTGCTTATCTTTTTATTATGTCCGTAAATTATTCTCTATCACATGGCTGCACTGGAGTCTCTGAGCCTACTCTGGTACAGGAGGCCGCCTGAATCACTAATCATTTTTTGCTCCGTCTTTTAAATTCAATTCAGCTGAAGTTTTTCTTTTAGGCTGGGCGCGGTGGCTCACGCCTGTAATCCCAGCACTTTAGGAGGCTGAGGTGGGCAGATCACCAGGTCAGGAGATCGAGACCAATCTGGCTAACATGGTGAAACCCCGTCTCTACTGAAAATACAAAAAATTAGCCAGGCATGGTGGCGGGTACTGTAATCCCAGCTACATGGGAGGCTGAGGCAGGAGAATCACTTGAACCCAGGAGGCGGAGGTTGCCGTGAGCCAAGATTGCACCACTACACTCCAGCCTGAGCAACAGAGCAAGACTCTGTCTCAAAAACAAAAAAGTTCTTCTTTTAGCGCTTGCAATGCTAAGATTCTTTGTTTCCGAGTGACACTGTGTGGACCCACCTACCCCAGCCACCACCGTGTCAGGTTTTCAAACTATCCAGCACTGCAGTTACACAGTCATCTCTGAAGTGAAGGTAGACTCAAGGGCACCCTGTGGCTACCGACAGCAGAGACCCCTGAGAATCTATATTATACACATGTCTGTGATGAGAGCTGGGTGGGCCCATAAAAAATTGAAAAATCTTTTTTCCTTCTTAAAACAATTTCTTGCAGGAGTTTCCTGGTTTGTTCCTGTGGAAAATGTGGAGTTTGGATCAAAGAAGGAAAACGTGCCCAAGATGTGTGGCCCTGGTGTCTCCTGGTTTGAACCATTAACCAAGACCAAGCCCTGGAGGGAGCCACTGCGGGAGCAGAACTGGCAGGGGCAGCACCTGGACGGTTGGGGCTCCCTGGCAGGCCCAGGCAGAGAGGATGGCAGAGATGCACTGAAGCCATTTGTAAGAGCACCCCTGCAGGTGCAGTGACACTGACTTAACTTTAGCCCTACGTGTAGGGAGAAGAAGGGCAAGGCACAGGGAACCTCCTTCTGTGACTTGGCGAGCTGAGGTGTAGGCCTGAGACCCTCTTTTCCAGCACCTCTATGGTTCACCTATTTTCATGCATGAGAGCTGTGTTTCTCATCATTCATCAAAGGCTGCCTTACTCTTAACCATTCTAGATGGTGCAACAGCTGACTCAGGATCTGGGATCAAGGTCACAGGAGGGAGGATTTGCAGCTCTGCTCATCAGGTTTGTGGGTCCCTGTGTGTGGAGGTCCAGAGGCCTGAGGCTTGTGTGGCCTCATGCATATTCCTCCAATTCCACAACTCCTATTGCTGCTCCATGCGGGATTTAAAGGAAACCAAGTATCTTCTTATATTTCCCTTGGGGGATAAAAGAAATGTTACTTAATGATGTATTTGTTTGAGTAGGTCTTTAAAATAACACCATGGGCAAAGCTGTATCATATTGACATTTGGGAGAGTAATTGCCACAGTCTTCGCGTAACCACCCAAGGGGTTCACCTTGCCCGCTGCCTAGACAGAGCCAATTCATCAAGACAGAGGAATTGCAATAGAGAAAGAGTAATTCACACAGAGCTGCCCATGCAGGAGACTGGAGTTTTATTATTACTCAAATCAGTCTCCCCCAGCATTCGGGGAACAGAGTTTTTAAGGATAACTTGATGGGTGGAAGCCAGTGAGCCAGGAGTGCTGACTGGTCAAGGATGAATTCATAGTGAGTCGAAGCTGACTTCTTGTGCTGAGACAGTTCCTGGGTGGGGGCCACAAGATCAGATGAGCCAGTTTATTGATCTGGGTGGTGCCAGCTGATCCATCAAATGCAGGGTCTGAGAAATATCTCAAGCACTGATCTTAGGAGAAGTTTAGGGAAGGTCAGAATCTCATAGCCTCCAGCTGCATGACTCCTAAATCACAATTTCTAATATTGTGGCTAATGTTAGTCCTACAAAGGCAGTCTAGTCCCCATGCAAGAAGGAGGTCTGCTTTAGGAAAGGGCTGTTACTGTCTTTGTTTAAACTATAAACTATAAGCTAAGTTTTTACCAAAGTTAATTCAGCCTATGCCCAGGAATGAACAAGGACAGCTTGGAGGTTAGAAACAAGATGGAGTCAGTTAAGTTAGATCTCTTTCACTGTCTCAGTCATAATTTTGCAAAGGTGGTTTTATTAGTTCCTTGCATATGCTGAAGGCATGTCTTTGATCCCTATGTGTTCCCTGCTGGAGCTCTCCCCCACAGAGAGGGGTCTGAGGATTCTTCAACTCTAGGCATTTTCTCAGTATTTGAATCAGGCTTTTCCAAATCGCTTGGACAGGTGGTGTTTTTCTAGGCATCTGGAGAGTAGGCTGTATCATTAATGTGAGGTCCAGCCTTTTTCTCCTCCTCAGGAATCACTTCAGCTTCACAGACCTGCCTTCATCTCCTGCCCTGGGGAGCAGATAAAGCGCCAGAAGTTAATAGTCCAGGAGAGGAAGCTGCAGAGCATGTTGCAGAGTGAGTAGGATGTGCCGTTAAACACTGACAGGACTGCTGCCCAAGAGAGGTACGCCCTGACTGTACACTTTCCCGTGAGTGGAACAGAGAAAGTGAGGTCTGCTGATGTGCTGTAAAAACCAATTATTTCAGCTTGGGTGTGTAGCAAACATTTTCTTAAAAATGAGGAAGTAAGTCTATCACTTCAGGAAAATACCTGATTGTCAGTATTTGTTGCCAAAGAGAAATTTAGTTTTCAAGCAAACAATAGAATTCTAAAACATGTGTGTCCATCATCATGGGCTTGATGACTTTCCAGTACTTAGACTTTTCTGATGAGATCAGTAGTGACATTAACTAATGTGATGCTTTTTCATGTTGTCTAAGTAAATTTGTCAATATTGGGAAGATCTGCATAACTCACTGGATCAGGATTTTCCAAATGATTGTTACCTGGTGTTACAAAATCAGGCAGGAAATAAACATACATTCAGTTAGTTCAAGACACACAAATGGATTTTTATGTGAGAGAATGTAAAAGATTTACCGATTTGGTTTCAAATTCCACCTCACAATTAATTAAGAAACTGCCACTTGTCAAGTTTTACTGTACTATCAAAGAAGATCAAGAGTGTGAACCCAGAAAATCGGAGACAGGTCTCAGTTAATTTAGAAAGTTTTTTTCACCAAGGTTGAGGACACATCTGTGACACAGCCTCAGGAAGGCCTGATGGTATGTGCCCAAGGAGGCCAGGGCACAGCTTGGTTTAAACGTTTTAGGGAGACATGAGATGTCAATCAATATATGTAAGAAGTACATTGGTTCAGTCTGGAAAGGTGGGACAACTTGAAGCAAAAGCAGGAAGACTCAAAGTGGGGAGGGAGCGCCCAGGTCACAGATAGGTGATACACAAATGGTTGCATTCTCGAGTTTCTGATTAGCCTTTGCAAAGAAGGCAAATCATATATGCAGCTATCTCAGTGAGAAGAGGAGTGACTGAATAGAACAGGAGGCAGGTTTGCCCTAAACAGTATCCAGCTTGAGTTTTCCTTAGTGATTTTGGGGGCCCAAGATAACTTCCTTTCACAAGAGTTACCTGAAAAGAATATTAAAATACTCTTGTTGACTAGGTGCTGTGGTTTACGCACGCCTGTAATCCCAGCACTTTGAGAGGCTGAGGTGGGCCGAATACCTGAGGTCAGCAGTTCAAGACCAACCTGCCAACATGGCGAAACCCATTTACTAAAAATACAAAACAGCTGGGCGTAGTGGTGAGCACCTGTAATCTCAGCTACTCAGGAGGCCGAGGCAGGAGAATTGCTTGAGCCTGGGAGGTGGAGGTTGCGGTGAGGCAAGATCATGCCACTGCACTCCAGCCTGGGTGACAGAGCAAGACTGTGTCTCAAAATAAGTAAGTAAGTAAGTAAATAAATAAATAAAATAAAATGCTCTTATCTTTTCCAACTATGTATATATGTAAGCCAGATTTTTTAAATGTATACTTTAACTAGACCAGTATGTGAGAACAGACTTAATGCAGAAGCAGATGAGTTCAGCTTTATTAAACCAGACATTGAAGAGCTTTGTAAAAAAATGTCAAACAGTGCCATTCTTCTCACTACCACTTTTTTGTTTTCGATTTCTAATTTGCATTTTAAAAAAGGTTACTTATGTTACCATGTAACATGCTTATTGTTATTTTAAGTGAATTAAGCACCAAGTATTTTTAATGTTTTTAGATAGCCCATGTTAAATCCCAGACTCCATCCCCAGTGGGCCTTGTCCCCTCCACAGAGACCTTGGGGCTAGAGTGGATTGATTGAGATGCTGGCCTTGATTCTTCTCCCCTGGCTGCATCCCAGCCCTTTGCTATGTGACTTTGTAGCTCCGCTGACTGCGGAGGTGGCTTTCTCTCTACCCCTGAGACTGGAATGACAGCAGATGTCATACCTGCAGGGGCTTCAAAACACATTTTGTTGTTCCTGCTTTTGTTTTTGCGCCTTTGCAATTTACTTGAAATGATGCCTGAGCTAGCCTGTTGGAAGTTGAAAGAGCCCTGTTGCCCTGTCCCTTCAGCCAACGCCACAGCACTTATACAATGCAGTCTGAGACCAGAGGAGCTGCCAGCCAAGCCCAGCCAAAATTGCCGACCTGCAGATTCATGCACTAAATAAATGTTTATTATTATTTTATGTTTTTTAATGGAACATTTTCATGGCACCAGAAAATAAAACAGAGGACTAAGCTGATTTTTTTATCTTGCCCAAATTCCTATCTAAGGGGTTTGGGGAGTCATGTCCTACAAACCATAAATTCTCATCAGATGGGTTTTACTTAACTCTGTATATTGTATATATTTTCTTCCTTCCTTTCCAAATCCAGGAGATAATCAACTAAGAGCCAGGCACCCTTTTAAGTCCGTTGAGTAACATTTTATAACCTGCTCTCTCTGAAGTCTGCTCTCTGAGACACAGAAACATTCCAAGCCTGTGGTAAGTTCTCTCACCCTAAAACCCTTAAATACCCTCAGTCTGTAAGGGAGAGTGCTCCTGACCAAAATTGGTCAAAGCTTCTCTCAGCTTTATTCTTCAACATACACCTGTCTTTGATGGTTGAGCCACTTTTCATGTTTCTTTCCTCTTTTTTTAACTCTTACACTTGGTGCCAAAACCTGGGATGGGTGTTGTGGGTAGAGGCTGTCTTGCAACCCAGGAGGCAGTGGGCAGCAGCAGCTCATCCTGCTGGATCCTGAGTGTCTGGCCACTCACTACCCCATGTTGTCTCTCACTTCATTTTTCAAGCAATTTGCATGAGGAGGACAACTAACCTGAAGGGGACTGCAAGGCTTGGGCTGGGGCTACTCCCCAGGAGGTTCTCAAAACCCTCAGGTCTCAGGAATCCATCTCCAACCACCCACAATGGGGAGTATTTTGCTCTCTAACCCTTGTCCCCTCCTCCTCCCTCATCCTCCCTTCTCTCTCTGTCTTCCTCGTGTGGCTCCCATCCAAAAGGCCCTTTGCCAATTCCAACTGAACATCCAACATCAGACATTAATCCAGCCAACTGGTAAGATCTGCCCTTCCCTGACCTTCTTGCAGTACCCAGGAAAGTCAGGTCTGACATCCCAGTTCTCGGAGGACCAATGGGACTAAGCTAGAAGAAATCTTGGGGACACCCAGTTTCTTCTCAGCTTGACCATCCTCTTCATGAAAAGGATTCTAGGTCTCTGTCTTTTGTCTGGAAATGCCTAGAACAAAACAGACACCCTTGGTTTTCTCTTACCAGTCCACATGAGTGCCAGACAGTCCCAGATTCCTACTGGCCTGTCTCTTTCACAACCTCACCAAACTTGGCTTATGGGAAGCATAAAGCCAAAGTGTTTTTGTTTTTTTTTTTTTTTTTTTTAATTGAAACATGGTCTGGCCCCAACATAAATTAGATAATGACAAGCAATGGCCCACAAATGACGCCTTTGACTTTCAGATTCTCAGGGAACTTGATAACTTTATAACCAGGAATGGCAAATGGTGAGAGCTTCTTTATATTCAGGCTTTCTTCTACCTTAGATCCTGACCCTTCCTGTGTCAAGCTTGCACCCCGTCATGAATCCTTCTTATTAATGAAAATCCTCCCGGGTCTCTCCTTCCTCCAAAACTCCTTCCTTCTAAACCCCTTCCTCCGAAACCCCTTTTGACCCTACAGGTGAACCCTGTCCATATTCTCATCCCCCTGCATCCGCTCCTTGCCTGGCCAAACCTTCAGCCCTGGTGGCCCCTCCTGCCCCCAAGCGTTCTGCCCTAAACCCTGCTCCTCCTCCATTTCCACTTGTTAGCCATTCAAAAACTACTCTAACCAGTCAAATCACCTCTGCCATTCTCCCTCTCCAGGAAGTGGCTGGGGTTGAAGGCATTGCTCGAGTTCTTGTCCCTTTCTCCATGTCTGATTTGTCACAAATCAAACAGCATCTGGATCTTTCTCTGAAGATCCATCTCATTGTCGCAGGGAATTCATACACATAACCCAGTCCTTTAATTTAACTTGGCATGATATTCATATAATTCTAGCCTCCACTCTCACCCCTGATAAAAAGCACCCAGCTTAATTAAAATGGATATCCCAACTATGAGTATATTCAAAAGGCCTTTATGTTTTTCTTTTCATAAATCTTGTTTTCCTGGAAAAGATTTTTCTGTCGACTTAAATACTTTTCTTCACTCTTGCTGCTCTTGGTGCATGCATGAAAGACCCTGAAATGACTTCTAGTGGCCCTGGACTCCTTGGAAAAACAGAAAAGCACCATAAATCCCATTTTGGGAGAAATCTCTGTCTTCTTCATGGAACCCCTGGAATTAGAGGTGAATAAGTACCTATCAAAATCTGTCTTTGTCTTTCAACTATACTTGTTTATTAGGCCCTGGAAATTGTTTTCCTAGCCCTGTTCTTAAAAGGCCTCACCTAAAGGCCAATAAAGCTGTGGAACCTTTCAGTTCATGTGACTTCAATCTTTAAAACTTACTGGTACAGTAAGATTAGAAATGTCTTAAGAGTTGCCAGCATACATTTTTGTTTGCATTTATTAATCAAGCAATTCCAGACTTATCTCTGCCAAATACTATAAGATGTCAAAATTGGCATAGAGGCTACAAAACTGTAACTCAGCCCAAACACAGTAATCTTTGCTTGTTTAATTCTTTAATAAATGAAACAATATTGGTTTAATGAAGATAACTACATCTTGAATTATTTAGTAAAACATCCTAACTTCTTTTTTTGTTGTTGTTGTTGCTTTCTTTTTTTTCCCTTTTTTTGGTTTTTTTTTAGACAGAGTCACACTCTGTCGCCTAGGCTGGAGTACAATGGCGTGATCTCAGCTCACTGCAACTTCCGCCTCTCTGCCTCCCGGGTTCAAGTGATTTTTTCCTGCCTCAGCCTCCTGCGTAGTTGGGACTACAGACATGTGCCACCACACCCAGCAAAATATCCTAATTCCTAATATGTGGCCTTAGGCAGTCTAGTCCACAGACATGAAGGAAGTTTGTTCTGGGAAAGAACTGTTATCATCTTTGTTTCAAAGCTAAACTATAAGTTAATAAAAATAGAAAAGGCTTGGGAACATGTGACAATAGCCATGACGCCTAGCTATGCAAAAGATATTAAGGAAAAAGAGTTTATATGAAAAGAATCTTAAATGGTAAATTCTTGTCCTAAAGTAAATTCCCTCATTTAAAGAGAGGGATGTTTACAACAAGTCAGAAAGTTGAAGCATGTCAGAGATTGTGAAAGTTGTAAGAAATGTTATAAAAGGGAATTTATGCAGGAAGTGTTGTACAATTTAAAAGTGATTAGACCTCATGAATGCTTTATAAAATGCCACTATAACTCGTAGCTATACAACTTGCCTGCTTTGCAGCTGGGTATGACCTAGGACACATGGAGTTAAATGCTGGAAGAAGCCAAACCTTATTTGCACTTCTGTCTAGGTCTTAGACTCTACACCTAGTACATAATTAAAATCCGAAACTTAGCAACAAAAGTAAAGGTTGCTAAAAGTTAACAGTGTAACATTTATTTAAGACTATTGAAAAAGCAGTTTACATTTACTTTTGGTTAAAAGATTCTAAGGAGGAATGAGAATGTGGTTTTTTACCTAGATCAAAAGGCTAAAGAATTGTTTTGAAGGTTTAAGAATTTAAAAGGAAATTCTGTTTGTAAACATATTGGCTAAAGTTGAAGGGGTATCATCTAGTTTTCTGTAAATTGAGCAAGAAAAGAAAAGCACAATGGATTTCTCTTAAAGCACTAACTTGTTCTTTAACAAACATTATAAAAAGTATGTAAAGGGTTAAAAAGGGTCTATAAAAACCTTACCTTATGGTTAAACATTAAAATTGGGTAAATGTATCTACAAGGTTTTATTAAAAAGTGAGTTTAACATTAATAGCCCACTAATATAAAGGTAAAATTTAGCTTATTTGGTATAAAATCATATAGGAAGCATTGTCAAATATAAAATGGTGTTTGGCATTCTTTGGGCTATATTTGTATAAATATGTTATTGGTATGTGTTCCAAAGTTATAGGAGGCTCCTATAATTCTGATGTATTTTAGTGTGCTTTATCAGTAATAATTGTAATTGTTATATTAAAATTATTGTGTGCAACAAAAGTAACAGATATCCTTGACAATTGTGACTTTTAACTAAAACTTCTCGTCATCCATAAATGATTGTTGTCTTGTTTCTGGTCCTCTAGAGACTAAAGTAATCTTTTTCATTTTTTTTTTTAGTATTTTTAAGTTAGGGCAATATAGTTATTTGCATAAGTGCAATACGAATCTATTTTGTTTTGTAACAGGAAACAATTGGAAAAACTGGTTATTCTACTAAGGCTTTGACTGGAATGGTGTGCTCTCCTTTAAGGAATCTAACTTGACTTATGAAGCCAAGAAAGCCCTTGGAAACTGGCCTAATTTTTTGTGTACACAGTCCCCGTACAGGGTTTCTGATCTGTGGTAAGTAAACAATATCACTTTCTGACAGGCCAGGAACCCCAAGTTATCTTAAAACCTCAAGGGAAGAGGAATTCACCCAACACATAGGTATTTAATGGTACAGGTCCATGGCTGGGCTCAGCTCTAAAAGATCTTATCTCAGATTCCTTCTATGGAACAAAGTTCCATCAATGCTAATTTAAAAGGCCTATGTAATACATAATTATTCTTGCTGCACTGTATGCAAATGCTTAAACCAACTATAAGAAAGCAAACCAGTCCTACCATTATTTGTCTTTTAATAATGTTTGCTAACAGAAAATAACACATGGGCCTTTCCAAACATGCACCTCTGCCTCTCATTAAGTTAAGGAATGTTGCTTCTATCTCAACCAATCGGGCCTAGTAAGAAACACTGTTAAGTAACTTAAAGGAAGGGCAAAAAAGCTAAGGGAATGCCAAAACAATTAAATAAATTCTTGGTTTGGGAACGAAATCATAGCATGGGTCATCCCATTTGAGGGCCCTCTCCTAATGATATGCCTAGGACTAATGTTTTCACCCAGCCTATTTAATCTTTTTAAAAGATTTTTAACTGACCAGGATCATGGCCATTTCTCAGACAACTACCCAAAAACATCCACAGACAGCGTTACTCCTTCAGTCAATCTGAGACCAGAAAACTCTCCATCCTCCCATCAGCAGGAAGTAGCCAGAAAGAAGATGCCAAACCTAGTCCTTTTTATAACCATAGGGTCTGGATTAACAGAGCAGGAGCATCTCTATCTTGGACAAGCACCACCATTTTAAAGTTCCCCTTGATCAACCACCTAATTCCAATCCAAAGGCCATCATCCTAATGCTTAATGCCAGCATGCCCATGTACCACAAATGGCATCTCCTACCAGAAACATTCCAACTCTAAGATAAACCCCTCCCTGACCAGAGACATGCCAGCCCTGAGATAACCTCCCCTCTGGCCAGAGAGATGTCAGTCCCAAGGTAACCACCTCTCTGACCAGAGACATTCCAACCCTGCAATAAACTTCTCCACACAGAAACATTCCAAGCCTGTGATAAACTCTTACCCTAAAACCCTTAAGTGCTCTTAGTCTGTAAGAGAGAGTGCTCCTGACTGAAATTGGCAAAAGCCCCTCTCAAGTTTATTCTCCAAAATAAACCTGTCTTTGACTGTTGAGTCACTTTGTGTGTTTCTTCTTTCTTTAACTCTTGCACCCTTGTCACTCATACTTGGCTCAGAATAAATCTCTGAAAATATTTTACAGAGTTTGACTCTTCATCAACACAGAAAAGACCCAAAAAGACTGAAAGAAGCAGAGCCCCAGAAGCAACCCCATGATCAAACACGAGGCACTCAGATGAGAATGGACAATAAGCTTTTATTGTGTCATTGCACTGAAAGGTTGGGGATTCCTTACTGCTACAGCAGAGTGGATTCTATTCTGACCAATACACAAAGAAAGAGATCACAGACCCCTTGCCTGAGCAGAAGGGAGGTGGTAGATGAAATGAACTGTAGGAACAGCCACTAGCCTCCCAATCAAGGTGAGGTAGGACTGACCCGTCTCCTGGAAGCCCATGCCCTGGTAGAGGGCCACGGCAGAGAACTGCACTGTATTTGTGCCAAGGACAACTTCACTGTAGCCCTGGTCTCGGGCAAACTGGAGGACAGTCCTGACCAGGGCTTTTGCTTCCCCTGACGACAGTGCTCAATATGTACAAAGAGGTGAAGCAGCCACATCTACTTCTCCCTCAAGGTGGGATCGTCAACGGGCAGAGCTCCCACCATGCCCAACACTTTCTCTTCAGACTCATCCACCCAGAAGCAGGAGCCACGCTCACTCAGGTAGGATTTGGTGATGTCAGACATGTCTGTGCACAGTGTCCTGTCTTCATACTTCCTCCAGGGATGTTTGGCAAAGAACCACAGGGCACAGAGGAGGCTGAGGCTGAGGCTGAACACCA